CGTCGTACGACGCAAATTGGATGCAGTGGGAATCTAGCATATGTCAAACAAGATAAGACGTGTAGGATAATGTGAGATAGAATGTATAGGATAAAATGAAATAGAAATAGTCACTAGTACTATAAATGGCTGCCAAGTCACGCAATTGGTTAGATTGCAACAGCGAATCAGAATGCATAACACCGGTTGCGCCTCTCTGATAAATCTAGGACTCTACCCGGATCTACGATAGATTTTTAAGCCTTAAGCCATAAGGAATGGACGAATCACAATCAATTATTCTTCTCGCACTCGATTGTAATTGGTCAATTTCTTATAGCCGCAACAGACACTCTTGCATAACGCATAATACATAGGCCGGTATTCATAGTCGGTTCTTATTTTAATACTGTCTTAAGTAATGTCTTAAGATGCTAATGTGGCTCTCTGATTGGTTCATGACATCTCAAGGCTGAACTTAAGACGGTCTTAAATATAAGATCTGATTATGAATACCGGCCATAGTGCATAATGGAATCAACCAATGGAAATTCTTCTTTTCCATGGAATGAGAGGAAAGGAAAGCTTCTGATTAGTTGATTCGCTTATGCACTATGCGTTATGCAAAAGCTTGTGTCTGGGGCTTTTAGATCTATCGCACATGAAATGCATAACAGAGCATAAACATAACATAAGACCGCTGGACCAATGAGCATCCAGCATTAAGTCGCCATATTGATTTACATAAGATGTTCATTGGTCGAGCGGTCTTATGTTATGTTTATGCTCTATTATGCATTTCATGTGCGATAGCCTTTAGACTTAGGGCCCAGACACAAGCTTTTGCATAACGCATAACGCATAGTGCATAAGCGAATCAGCTAATCAGAAGCTTTCCTTTCCTCTCATTCCATGGAAAAGAAAAATTTCGATGGGTTGATTCCATTATGCACTATGTATTATGCGTTATGCAAAAGCTTGTGTCTGGACCCTTAAAACACCTATTGTAGATCCGGACTTACGTGTTAAGGTAAATTTTCACGAGCTGCTCTAACCGGCTATTTTAGCGACAAAAAGGATCACGCGATCAAAATGGACATTTGATATTCGTCAATTTTTACCAGGTAATTCTTTTTGTCGCTGAAACAGCCGGTTTGAGCAGCCCGTGAAAATTTACCTTTATGCGTTATGCAAGATTCTGTGCTGTGCGGCCATGGGAAAGCTCCGATTGCACACATTGCATGTTGCACACATGCGTCGCTAATTGGCTAATTTAAAAATAAAATATTCTCATTGGTAAAGCAGTGAAAAATTACTAAGCTGACCTGAGTGGTGTGTGCAATCGGGATTGTAAGCAAACGGGATCCTCCCTGCGGCCATAACGCGGAACGAGAGCGGAACCAATCGCAAGTGTTCCGCATCATTTGCAATTGGTGTGGTACGCTTGTGATTGGTTCTCCTCTTGTTCCGCGTTACACTATTCCGTTGCATGAGTAGGCACCATGCTGAGATGTAAACTTAAGCCGATGAGCCAATCAGGATATTGCTTTAGATCTACGTAATCTGACGGAAATAGAATTAGTAGTAAATTTATCCATAACCCCGGATCTACAATAGGGTTTTAAGCCTTAAGCCATAAGAAATAGGCGAATCACAGTCGCATATTCTTCTCGGATTCGACTGTAATTGATCAATTTCTTACGACTTAAGGCTTAAAACACCTATTGTAGATCTGGAGTAAGGGGCTCCGTACAAATCTAAGATCACGCAGTAAAAAAGAAAGAGATCAGACTTGGGGATCTCGACCGGTTGAAATCTGCCTTAAGGGCTCCGTACAATAAAAGGAACAGGGAACAGAGAACAGAGAATAAGAATTTCAACCTATCAGAAATCATGTATTGTGGAATACACAGTTTCTGATAAGTTAGGGCCTGCGCATAATAGAGGAACAAGAATTAGATATTAAGATTTCAACCTATTAGAAACCGCGTACATCGGAATACGCGGTTTCTGATAGGTTGAAATCTTAATATCTAATTCTTATTCCTCTATTGTGCGCAGGCCCATAAAATTCCTATTCTCTGATCTCTGTTCCCTGTTCCTTTTATTGTACGAAGCCCTTAAGGCAGATTTCAACCGGTCGAGATCCCGAAGTCAAGTTCTTATAGACCACTCGAGCGGATCGGACGTGTTCCCTCTCGTCTCGGGTGTTGCGTCACCTCGACTATATTTTTGGAAAGCGTTGCCGGCTTGGACTGTGCCATAGTATTTCAATTTCAATAGTCCCTTTATCTGTCTTGGCGCGCGGCCGTGCGGCGTGGAAGCGCCGTAGCCGTAGGCGTCCAGTGTTTAAAGGGGCGCCTCACCATTTTTATTGCATCATCCATTACTCGCCCGGTTCGAGGTGGCCGGTGCATAGCACTCCCACTTACGATTACCCCAATTTACGCAAAACTCAATGACCCAGTACCATCCTGTCTAGGCTGCGGTGGCCAAAAAAACAGAAGAAGAAGAAAAAGAAGAGATCCCCAAGTCTGATCTCTTTCTTTTTACTGCGTGATCTTAGATTTCTCTCTGATGATAATAGTTGCTTTCCATTTACATGTGAGCTGAGCATTTTATACTCAGATTAATGACGTCACTACTTGCTTACTTTGGTAAAAAGTTATCACATGTCAATACAGGTTCATAACCTCACTTTGAGGTGAGTTTACGAGACTCACTTAAGCACACTGTCTCGATCTTGTGCAGATTATGGGTAAAAACTCAGTTGAATCTCACTTGTCAAAATGCAAAAGGAACGCGCATTCAACTGAGTTATGACGTCACAAGTGAGAATTATCTGAGAATCGGTGTAAATGGAAAGCAGCTAATATTAACGTTTCTCTTATTTAAAAGGTGAGAATTAAATTTGAGTCGAAAAATCAATCAAGGAGAAACCAAAAGAAGTAGAAGAAGAGGTGAGAAGTGTCGTATCATCTTTCAAATTTCTTTCTCAATTTGATGCAATTATGTCAGAGATTAAAGATGATCCGCGAGAAGTTCTCGTTCTTTTGAATTCGTTAAGTTTCGTCGGCATCACTGCGATTCAACTAAAAGCTTTTATGAAAGGTAAGTGTAACACTTGATTTTTCTTTTTATTTCTTTCCATTTTATTTTTATTTTACAATAATAATAATAATAATAATATTGCCACATTATTAATCGATACACATTTGTTTATATTATTTTTTCTTCCTATTGTTATTTATTTGCTAAAAAATCGATGTGTGTTTACTTTGTTATAAAACAGTTGGGATTTTGCTACATTTTTCTTTCTAGATTTGAAGATATACAGAA